CTTCATGCTGCATCTGGTAAGTTCGGCGTTCACTGGAGTGTTTTGATTTGGTCGTGCTGACACGCGTAGCCCAACCGACACCGCCTTGGACGCCCTCTACCACCCGCCGCGGGGCCCCTCGCCACGAACCGCAGAATGCTCCGAAGAAACCGTCGCGACGGTTCGTCACGACAGAGCTGTTGGCATGGACGCCACGCAGCCACGGATCGACCCCACTTGGACGGGAGAATCACCTCCTTAGCTAGCCGGGACGAGGCAGCGTCGCAGAACATCCGCGGCGCCGTGCGCATCACATCGTCCCCGCCGATCAGCTCGACTACAGAGAGTCTCCCGTGACAGAAAGCTCTCACGCCCCTCCCACGCTTTGTCGGTCGGCCCGACTACGCTTATTGGTTTCGGAATGCTGGGAAGAATTGGTATGGCAAGGTCAAAATGTCAGTCATTCCATCAAGTCATTGATGTTGAATTTTTAGTTCTCTAAATTGTCCCAAAGCTAGATCAGAACGTACGTCAGCAGTAGAATTTCGATTATGGACGATACAGTGTCAATCCAGTTATTAAATTCCTTTAAAAGTGCGAAACCTTCAGCCTTTTGCACGATTTAAGATATGACATGCCACTCAGATGAGCCGGGACCGAGCTAAGGGGCACCGCGAGGGATTCTTCGTGTTTGATACCGACAGAGGCAAGCACAGTAGGATCGCATGAAGCCAAGCTACTGTCGTGGATGCTGGTACCAGGGATCAGCTTCTCCGACGGCAGGCCATAGATCGCCGACTGTTCATTCACGCAGATCATCGCGTAGTATGCAGTGGAGTGATCTAGTTCGGCAAAAACGCACCATTGAGTCGTTCGAGGGACAATCTGCTGGCGGCATCCACATGCTGCGAAGTTGGTCTCAGTGGGTGTTTCGGAGCTCAGCTCAATCTGACCACACATGATTGGTGGGACAGACTTGATCGTTTGGGAGTGAAGGAGCTCCGCGTCGGCGCCACAGTGCTCTGCATGAAGAATGACTTTGTATTCTAGCCCACCTTCAATTCTCTGCACTGTATCCGCTGCGTTGTCTTCCCATCTGACAAGCAGACCGCTGGCATGAAGGCTGATTTGGATGTTATGTGGGAACCACTGCAGCAGGCGTCTGATGTCGCGCATGTACCGGTTCTCTGTGATCCGTGACATGGGGGATGCTGCAAAGAGGAAAGGAATCGAGAGGATCAGTAATTACTCTACAATCTCTTGCCATGAAACGGGTGCATACTGCCGATCGATGCTCGTCGGGACCACATTGCGGCATGGGGCCTCTGGGTCCACACTGTCCAAGTCCCACCATCGAAGTGTAATTTTCAGGGTTCGTTCTGCAGCGTGGTAGAAGACACCGAGTCTTCCGGCCATGTCTTCGACGTAGAGAACTTGCATCCCGCGGGGGGCGTTCAAGAATGTCAAGCAGGCACTGAACGCCCGATCGATCGTCTTCGCAAAGGCCGTATTGGGCAGGGCACAGATCGCCGCATCTGTGTAACGTCGCTGTTGCTCCTCCTCAATTGTCCGGATGGGTGTCGCCGAGCGAAGGAGCTGCCAGAAAGTCTCCGGGAGTGGGGTCGGCTTTTTGCCGGTGCATGCTCGGATCGCATTCACAGTCTATCTCGAATTAGCATATGACACCGCTGAAGGAGGTTTGCACTGACCTGCAAACTGATTTCCGCACTGTGAAAGAAAAGCTTCTTCCTTGAGGCACACAACATATGCTCCCAAATGCGGGTCTTGGTCGATGGCTCCAGAAGACTTTCTGCTTGGTCCACATCGCCGAGGTGCGGATGGTTCCGGAGGAGGTTGACATAGCTTGGGAGCAGGTCTTTCTCACGCACAGATAACGCATACTCCCATATCTGCCGCACGAGGTCTGCCAAGTCGAGCTGGCTGATCAGTCCTTGTCGGTCTCGGCTAAACTTCCCACACGCGAAGTTGTAGCCGTACTTGAAAACCTTGCCGCCCACGGGATGCATGGCCAGCTGTATCCCATGCAGGAACAGCTTGCCAGAGCATTTTGGATCGAGCAGCAAATCTCCCTGGGGTGTCTGTATCGAAGACGTGGGCGAGACGAGTCCGTGAATGTCAAGAGTGACCCGTAACCATCGCAGGAAGGTTTTGGGTGACACCGGTCGGCTTTGATTACCCCGGCCAGCGCCAATCACCACGGCGACATCGCGTTCTATACGGGGGCGCAATTTAGCCATATCATCCGCGGCTGCTGGCCAGTCGCTGCGAGATATCTTACGTGCCGCCGTGATGACGCAGCGAAGAGACTGCTGCGGCCCTTGCAGCCCGAACTTCCAATTCCAGTGACTTGCGGCGATGCTCATTTGAAACTGCTGTCGATTCATGACCAACGCAGCCAGTTTGAGACCGTCTCCGTGCGAACCACTCTGTCGATTGTCTCTGTCTCTGGTCGTGTGTCCCATGATGAGAGACTCGATGGGCAGCTGGGCGCATGCATTGGCGAGGGTGACTCGACCGGTCTTTTTCTCGTACTTGATGAATCCTCGAGCGAGGGGATTCGCGTGATCTGTCGGGGCCGACGAACCTATGATGGCGAAGTGATTGTTGTCGTCGTGAAAAGATAGCTTCAAGTCTCGTCGGTCGAGCTGGAATGTTTCCAGAATGGCATCTCTCCTACTCGGTGTCAGCAAATCTCCCAGCGGGCGGCTCGGTGCGTACCAGTTTTGATATAGCTCGCGGAAGGCATCGGTCGTATCCCAGTCCTTCACGTATGCAGGGGAGATTCCGAAGACAACGGTCTGCTGTGTCGGCTGATCTGCGATGCCGGCGGAAGGAGTATCTGAGATTTGTCGGAGCTCACCGTGAAGTTGTTTGCTTGCTTCATCGCTGATAGAGCTCCCTGGGTCCATGCCAACAGAGTCTGTGGTGTCAAATGGAGTGACTAGACTGGAGTTCTTTCTGGTGGGCAGCCGACGATTTATATGACCTTGGGACGATCTTTCCTCGCGGTATCTCTGGTGAAGGAAGTGGTGAGTTGAGTGGTGAAGCCATAGTGTTTAGTATTGCGAGCCATAACTGGTTCCACATGCATCGCGGTTTAACAGATTACAAGGATAACTACATATGTTGAAACTCGTTCACTCGATTGATGGATACTTGATTGATGGATACTCGATTGATGGAGGCTCGATATTGAATACACTTTGCCCACGAGAACCTGTATCTGCTTGGTTCAGCATGTAAGCTTGTAGATTTGTCACATCAACACTTCCACGGAGTCTGCGAAAACTCGACAGGACTGGTCATTCTTTGTGGCATAAGAAACATACAGAATGGAAACGCGCATTCAAGATTGTTGTGTGTACCCCACGGCCGCATAGCTACAAGGTCCATCTTCCAAATGGCGTTATCAACAGTGCAAACAGCTAGATCTGATTGGCCGACATGATCACGATCGCGCGATGGGTCTGTGAGTTGACGTGGTGCGGATGTCTCTCATCTCCAACAGCTCGGTGAGGACACAAGCTTTCATCCGCGAAGTGCCTCCGAGCCAAAAACGGAGCTTTGCCTCGATGAGCATTGACCCTTGAGTCTCATCATTGATCATCGACAGAAACAAATTGTCAAAGAACCCAGAGCCAGCCTCTCCTTCCACCTCAAGTCTCGTCGGATCAACGGCTGCCGCCATCCAGATATATCCTATGGCGAGATTGAAGCAAGCTGCGTTGACGTTGCATGTGGACACAAGGGTATTGAACAGGGGGCCGAAGGAAATTGCAGGAAGGCCAATACAGACGTATGTCTTGGCGGCGCTTCGTCCTGCCCGTACAGCTTCATCCATCAAATCTGTGCCCTCGATTGATCTGACATCGATCACGACCGAATCCGACACCCAGTATTCGGTGGACCAGCTGTATAACACCGGCGGAGGAGCAGTACCAACGGGATTCCAGAGTCGGAGCGCCAACTTTCTGATGCTTGAGATATTTTTCGTTCCTGCGATCCCAAGAATGATGAGCTTCCTGTCCTTCTCATTGGGCACGCAGGAAATTCCCAAATGATAACCCAAGGGTTGCAGGCTGGTCACTTTGGCAAGTGGAAGGACTGTAGTCTCGCCGAATTCAACAGAAACGAAGCGACAATTTTTGTCTGGCTTGTTGACCACAGTGTGGCTGGGTAAGGTCACGCATTGCAGCATGGTATTAATACTCTGTCCGCAAAGCTTCAGCTGTTCCCACTTCCAGAGCAGCTCTTGAGTCTTTGCGCAAATAAAGGGCGAGTTGGGAATGAAAGGGGTCTGGCTCGACGCCATACTGGATTTCATAGATTTCAGATCAGCACCGCCATGACTTGCAAAAGGGAGGAAGAATATGCCTTACCCGAGGACCTGTCTCTGGCTGAAACATGACTGAGACTCACGCGTTGGCATCATGGAGGTGACGAGAGGAAGACTGGCGTGAAGCATGAAGGAAGATGAACGAATGCTGCGCTAATGCCTATCCTTTTGAATGTACCACGGAGAGACTCATGCTAACGCGTAATCATCAATGTCTCAACATGTAGGGACATTGTTGAGCGTTGAGATGACTAACATAGAGAACTGGACGGAGCTAGTTGGCGTCACGTTGAACGTACTGGAAGAAGCATGCTCTGAGAAGGATTGCATTCCCGCTGTGGCGACAGAGAAATCAGAAAAGATCCTGGGAGCATGTGTGATGACTTTGGGAGCTGGCCACTAGATCCCTTCGGTGTTCCCACAGGTGTACAAGCTAATCAGCTCGGGGCGCAAACATTGATATGCACCGCCACCTCAATTGCCGACATTTCGATGATCATCGACTCGGCTCGACACCAGGCTGAACCAGGCTGAACGAGGTTCAGGAAAGTACTTAAAGAGAGACATCGCCTGAGGACCCTATCAATCCTCGCTTCCACATTATCCTGTTTCACTACGCAAGACCCGCTCTATTCGTCAATCATTAACGTCTTCCGTCCTCAATATGGCTTCCAACACCACATCCGCTATGCTTTGCATGCGCCTGACTGTTCTCGTCCCCGCTATCATGTGGTTGGCCTTTGCGGGTCTCAGCTCGGCCATATCTCACTTTGCAATTATCCTCCGGGACCATGCGGAGTCAGATCTCATCTATACCAACCATACTATACTGGGCCTTGCCTTTCAAAGCCTGATGGAAAATATTCTCGTCGTTTCAGTCCTCTTGGCCCTGATGTCAACATTGCTCTCCATCTTTGGTATGATCCTTGCGATCCATTTGAGGTGGCTACATCAGAACGGCCAACGTCGAATCTATTTCGAATGCATTCAGGTTGTACTAGCGCTCACTGCTGTCTCTGTCAGTGGATATATTGCGAGCTGTGTTCACGGGTCTCGATTTTCGTTTGAGCTGTTGAATATTCACGGCCACCTGCCTTACTACAAAATCATGTATTACGGGAGCGTTGGGCAAGCTGCATTTGGTTCTCTCATGATCATCAACTTTTTCGTTCTGCTCTTCATGTGAGACTTCTGCGTTTAGTAAGAGCAAGCGCGATCAAAGGAACAACCTTAATTGTGGCTGCTCGAAATATTGTGAGCTGACTGTTTATTACTACCAGCCTTCAAACGACGAGGCTTTGAGACGCTTTTGAAGAGCATTGGAGGTTATACAGCTCACATTCAGCACGTGGGTTTCATGCAATTCCAGCAGCAAGGCGGCGTCTTTTCGATATGTATTCTCTCTCCCTTACCTTGGTCTTCGTACTCCGAATGTACGATAGATGGCGAATACTGCGGTATGAAATATATGGAAACGTTATCTCGATCTCCTCAACATTCGATATCCAGTGTTTACTAGACAGACTGCTCCGCACAGCGGTAAATGCAATTGACTAGCCGTGATCAATGGGTGCTAACAGGCATTAGTAAGTGCTGAGCCCGGGCAGAATGACACCATTTTCAAATCTTCCATCGATGCGGTCGCTCCAGACGCGCCCAGAAAGCTAACGAGAGCGGACTCCATGGGCCAGCGCTTCAAATCGTCGACACCAATAGCCCCATCCTCTTTGTCGTACTTTTGCATGGGCTGCATTGTGATGGACGGGATGGCGGCGATGCATGTGGCTTCGGATTGGTTTGTCAAGCAGTCCACGCAGTGCTCTGGGCCCGCTATGAGATGGCTTGCTGATACGTCTCCCACGGGACTCGTGTCGCACGATCAGAACGGATGTAATATTGTTGAGGCTTTGCAAGCGAGGAAGACAAAGACCTTTAATGGGCCCCGTGCCGGTTTTAGGCTGCGGTGGTGTATTGGTCTTGTTGGTACAGCGCGAGCGGACTTTCCCTTGCCAGCGAAGCTGCCGGGGAATGTGGGTGGCGGTTGGGATTGAGCTTTAATGGTGTCAAAGTCGAAATCATGTGCTCTTTCAGATTTCCGACTGACATGATCCAAGCTGGCGCGGCATGTGTTTGATTGTGGTTTTTGACTAAATACACAGAAGCAGCATCTGACAGAAGTGGGTTACTATGCTAATATATCATTATCACATGTGGTCCTATGCAGTATACATTTTGAAAGGCTATACGGCGTTGCTACGTCAAGTCATCAGAAGATGAGGTTGCCGAAAAGTAGAGTCTATTCCAACCATTGCTACGCTGATACAAGTGGAGACGAATGGAATTCTTTTGGCCCACACGGGGCACCTGCAGTCTGAACACTGACGATGTAGGCCTCGTTGACGGAGGGCTACAGCGCCGTGAGGGCTGCAGGCGGGCCCGTGGCACTCCGTGTATTCTAGGAGGAAACATAGCTTATACAGGAGGATACGTGGTACATACAAGGGGGTTCCGCGGTGGGCGGGAAGAAACCGTTGCGGCGAGAGCCCGGCTCTCACTCGAAACGGCGATGTCCCTTTCGAGGGAGGGGATATCCATGTGATATTTGTGTGCGATGTCCCGCACGGAATATCGTGGACCCGATGCAAGGGGTTCTCACAACAGTCCCGAATAGAACCTATCATTTATCATGCCGGTGTTTCAGTGCAACTCGACCCACTTACTACATTCGGAGAGTGACAAACTTGGAACCAATTTTTAGAATCTTGCGCGGCCGGCCGGGCAAATGGTCGAGATCATTGAGAACAAAATTTTTGATGTTACATTCAGTCCTCTGGGCAGATAATTCCAAATCATATGACCCGTGGCAATCCTTTGATTTGACTTTGCTAAAATTGGCTGAGTGGTAGACCATCTAGCATGCCAGTTGCCAAGGCTTACAGTACCGTGATTGGATCAAATATCCGAGCAGCGGAAGATCATCTTGCGAAGAGAGTTAGGAGAGGACAGCGATCATGATCCACCGGGTGGACGGACGGACCCAGATGACAGGCCCCGCTTGGCGATGAACAGAACTGCTTGAAAGATTCATTTATTGGTGACCTCACGCAGTCAAGAGGAGCAAGAAGAGTTTAGTTTGGCCGCAACGGGTTACCTGTCGCTGCGGTCGTAGACCGTGGCGTCAGATAGGCCCCGTCCGCGCTCCCTTGAAGGGAGGCAATGTGTCTGTATTGTAGTGGATTCTATATACAGAGGGAAGGTGGGAGGGACAAAATTGACACTTGACTGCGTGAGAGATGACGAGCTACCCACAGAGGCCATCAACTGACTCTTGTGAGGCAGTTGTAGGAGGAAGAGGCCCTCAGAAATGTCGGTGTGTCGGAACAATGGATCATGTAATCAACTTTATTAGTCAGCGTACCACATGTTAAATTGCTGTGGTGGAGACTAGAGAATACCAGACAAGTACACAGACGTGACCCATACCATTGGTACATGCTTTTCGACCCTGATTACGTGTTCAGAGACGGTGTAGATATCACGTGAGGCTACAGGCATTGTGAGGCAACCCCAATAAAACCACTCCCTATATCTCCGATGAACCATCTGAAAATGAAAAGTCAATCTCGTGGAAAGATTTTAATTGTGTCTCCTCCGTTGTTATTATTCCCCAATTTAGATCATTCGGTATTGTGACAAGGCGTCGAACAACCACCGCATGAGCATGGCTGGCGCCCAACAGCAACACAGTCGTGGTGGTAAGAAGGAAGACGACAACGATGTATTGATGCGTTTGGTCAGTTGCGCCTTCAGCTTGATGAAATATCAAATATCAGACCATATAAAACTCTTTACCGACCTCTCCAAAGCCCGACAAAGAAATCGTAGGATGCATCAACGATATTGGAATCCCGTTGAACACGGCCGACCTCGCGAATCCGAAACCGCAACATATCCAGATAGTCTTTGAACGGTTCGCGGAACTGCTCATGAATGTGACTCGAGAAACTGTCGAGCCCGGAATGCATGCAGCTACAGACGAAGTCTGCGGAGACTACCTAGATATTTTCCCCAAGGAGACCCGTAACCTCATGGGGCTCCTCATTAGTATCCAAAGGCTGCCGTCGGAGGTATCGGTGAATCCTAGTGATCAACAAAAGGTCTTAGTAAAATACCCGTTTTCTCAACCACCGTGGTGGCAAAAATAATTTGGAATTTAAATCCATAAGTTCAGATGACTCGAGCTTTGTCTGGAGTCTCGCTAGGAGAAATCAAGTCGCTAATTTTCTCGTATTCTTGCGTGAGAGGCTTGAAAGTGGCATGAATAGACGATTCAGGGGTGGTTCTTATGCATTCTCACCCCGCTTCCCGTCCTATATATTGCGCATTCACCCTTCTCCCTCACTCGCGCTGCTGCATTACCATGGAGGTTCAGTGATATATACCAAGTCTAAGGTATGTTTAGTACTAGTATATAGGACGACAAGGCATGGAGAACAAAGCCTCCCGTACGCTCAGCCGTACTTAAGCCACATATTTCGCACGGCCAATTTTCTATGTGCGCTCATCACCTATAGGACTCTAGAGTGACGGAGTTTTTTAATTTGGGGTGACTTTATACTGTATGGGTGAGAAGTTTGGAGACTTGGAAAGAGAAGTGAGAACAGGATGAGAATTCCTACCCCGGGGGTTGGATAGGGACATTTCACTCCCCACAAGTCTTTTCAGGAATTGATGCTTTCTAGTGTTGAGTCAGAATCCTGATACAAGTAATTCCATTCTCTGCCATTAGTTGGGCACTCCCAAAAGTAATGTACAGATTAAATACACGAAATCATCTTCCACACCTGACTAATCTCCTTCCCGCTCTCCCCGATCTCCACTTAAAGGGCACAGAAACCTGGCTGTTTAGGTGCTGTCTACTCCCGTAGGAGTGGTGCGAGCAGTTGCGTAGATAAGATGCTCGCCATTAACTCGGACGTTGTTGATGCGCGCGAAACCAGGTTGCTTTACGTTGGCATGGCACATCTGATTCAGATTTTATTAGCCAAACTCATTCGAGTGGAATTTAAATGATTCTTCACTTACTCCAGCCTGTGGTTCACCACCAAAATTTCTCCATCCAACAGCAATGCAGTTGGGGTTCATAGCACAGTCTTCAGCACATTGCAAGATAGACGGGCGGTACCACCAAATTTCTTCCCGAGCGCCATTGGTGCGGACGTTGCACTTGACCTGAAAATCGACTCCTCCAAGCTTGAATTGTCTTTGGGGACAGCGACCGTCGCAAAGACTAAACCAGCTGTTGTCGTGGCACCGGCTATCCACCGCCTTCCAATCCTCATGGCCATTTGCGTCAGACAGAATCTTGTCTTCCGAGGTCTTCAAATTGTTTTCCAGAGTTGCCTTCTCGGCCTCCCACTGAGACTTGGACTGCTGCAGGGTGCCTTCTCCTTGCTGACGGAGTTGATCCTTCTCGGCGGCGCACTGGGAGTTGGCATTAGAGACAGCATTAGAGACAGCAGCGTCTTTGTCAGTCTGGCATTGGGACCGAGCATCAACGGTTTGCTTCTGGAGCTGGTCTTTCTCGGCGGTGCATTGGGAATTGGCATTGGAGACAGCATTAGAGACAGCAGCGTCTTTGTCAGTCTGGCATTGGGACCGAGCGTCATCGGTTTGTTTCTGGAGCTGTTCCTTCTCGGCAGCACATTGTGAATTGGCATTGGAGACAGCAGCGTCTTTGTCGGTCTGGCATTGGGAGCTGGCAGCGTCTTTCTGCGAGTTGCATTTCGCTTGAGCGTCATCGATTTGCTTCTGAAGCTGACTCTTGTCATTCTGACAGTCGGTCTCCGCCTGCTTCTTGGCATCGTCTGCAACAGCAGTCTTCTCTTGCTCGCACTGTGCTTTATCGCTCTCCTTTTCGTTCTGGCACTTCACTGCGGCATACTTCTCGCATTCGGCCTTTGCAGCATCAGTCGCCTTTCCACATCCTCCAGTGGGCTCGGATTCGGGCTCTGACACTAATTCTTTGGTCTTCTCGAGCGACATAAAGCCCTTATAAGCCCGTGGCGAGTAGTCATCGACGGTGACAAAGAAGCATTGACCCTTACTATTCCATGCGGCAGCGCGGCAGTCAGTGCCGGCGGCGGCACAGCCGTGCGCGCACTCCCGTGCACTACTAGCTTTGATAATAGTGTTCTTTGCGGGCGATGGGTATGCCCCACAGCTGTAGGAAAACTCGACCCCGTCAACTCGAGCCTTACCTGATTGCGTTTGACCACAACAGGCTTTATAGATTTCGCTGGAGGTGCCACCGGAGAGGGTAAGACAATTGCCTGCTCCATCCGAGGGAGCTTGCGGCGTACTGGCCCATACCGCTGTGGCGGCAAGGATGACGAGCAAGGCCGAGTAAGAAGCAGAAACCATGATTTCGAAAGGCCTTTATCTTGCTACAAGGTGGGAATGAGGAATTTAATCACTTTGAGCCGTTGAGAAAGGTAATTTAGAATCAGCAAAGACGCTTATTTATAGTGATAGATATAGAAAGGGAAAAGACCCTCAGGGATTAGTGCCGCGAGCTAAGCTGAGAGAAATCGGTCAATCTCCGCGTGGGTCTGAAAAATGACGATGGAGGCGATGGTCACTGTTGGCGTGACAAATTGAAAGCCCACTTCACTGACGTGGTTCATGTTTTATCACACATAGCCTTCCCCACTTTCGGAGGTGATGGCTGTACAGGTTCCTCAAGTGGAATAGAGAGACCAAGATAAATACACCACTACGTTAGACTTCCAGGATTGTCATCCATTCCTACGACCTGGGCCCACTTTCAGCCGTCTCATAGTGGACTACATGTTAGATAGTGGCTGCGATCCCTCGAGTAGAATAGATGTATCGAGATAGTTGGCGTAGATCCCCCTCATCTTCCAAGGTCGTTATCCATTTCTACGAACTGGGCCCACTTTTAGTCGTCCGATCGTGGACTCCAGAGTACATGGCCAATGCTGGCTAAAACTCAGTAAGTAGTCTAGTGCGGATTAATTAGCAAATGGTGCATATCGGATCCACTCTCCCCGCTAACCTGGTAGCGATGAACGACAAAAGGGAAAGTGGTTGAAGCATATTCCAAACTTCAAAGGTTGAATCCTCTATTATATTACTCCTTCACGATTTGAATGTTCATAGTATGGAAATCAGAGAATCCGTAATGTTTTGGTGGAGTTTAGGTAGATCTTGGATCGGAGCGGCCCGGAAAATTGAATCGATCAGTTCGTCACGAACGAGTGGAGCCGATCGATCCTGTACAGGACTCCACAATACAGCTCGTGGATCTCGGATTACATCTATCGTTTCGCCCTGCTGTCGATCAATACCCTGAACATCATTCTCCTCATTTTTTCCTTGTCGATCGGTCCCTTTCCATCCATGCGATCCACTGTATAGCAAGAACTATCTTGAAAGTGGATAGCTCCTCGCACTTCGTGTCGGTCAGCAGGCTTCTGATCCACTTCTACGGCTGAAGATTCATGGAAAATGAATTCCAGCTGAGTCTCCAAATTTTTTGAGCTATCTTGGTGGAGCGATTTCCATCATGTACCATGTCGAGGGTAAAAATTATAAATATCCATCTCGAGCCCCTCTATCATGAGTCTGTATCAAGATTCTGCCATTCCCATTCCCGATAGCTACAATGGTGAAGTTTGAATCGATTTTGGCCCTCCTGGTGTCCTTGTCTGCCTCTCAGGTAGCAGCTCGTGCCACCTCTCCTGCTCAAACCAAATATACCCTCGATAACATCCGTCCCTTGACTGATGCTGCCTCTGGTCTCGTGAAATGTTGCCCAGAGGGGACCGAATTCGACGGCAAGGATTGCGTCTTGGGCGTTCCTCTATGTCCTGAGGGCTTCACCCGCAACGTGGACAAGTGTGTGTCTAACGTGAAGCCTATCTGTCCGGATGGCAGTGAATTCAACGGCAAGACCTGTGTCGCAAACGAACCTCCATCCTGCCCTCCAGGCACTGAGTTCAATGGCCGGACGTGCAGCGCAGGACCTGCAACCTGCCACACTGGTCTGGAGCCTAATGGCAATGTCTGTCAATCCAAGCAGACTCCTGGCTGCCCTGATACCTACACTTTCAACGGAAAGACATGTGTTAGTGTCATGACTCCCAAGTGTCCTGATGGGTTGGATTTCTGCAATGGAAACTGCATTAGTGTTGGCTCTCCCGTGTGCCCCCCGGGCTCTGAATTCCACGCTGCGTTCCAGGTGTGCGCCTCGACTTCTGGCCCCGCCTGCGAAGAGGGAAGCATCCTGAAAGATGGCCAGTGTGTGTCGGATATCAAGCCTGTCTGTCCCGATGTTAGCACTTTCAATTCACTTAGCGGCCAATGTACCGCATCAGAGAAGCCCTCTTGCCCGCCTGGATCTCAGCTGGATCTAGTCAGTAAGAAGTGTCTCCTCAAGGAGGATCCTGATTGCCCTCCTGGAAGTGATCTCTCTATCGATTTCACTTCAAACACCGCCCGTTGCTGCCCTGCTGATATGTCGTGGGATGGCAATATGTGCACTTTTGAGGTCGACTCGACCCATGAATGTGCTCCTGGCCTTACTCAAGTGGGCACATCATGCCAGAAGCAGCCTACAAAGGTTCCCGAATGCCCACCTGGCTCTAAGTTCAGCGGTAGTCGCTGTGTATCAACAGACCTTCCAGTGTGCCCCCCTGGTTACATCTTAGATGGATCCACTTGCGTTGCCCTTGAGCAACCGGAATGTCCCACTGGTTTTGTCCTCTCAGGCGAGACCTGCCACTCTACTGCTGAGGTCACCTGCCCGACCAGAACACGATTTGAGAAGGGCCTTTGCGTCAACATCCAGCAGCCCGTTTGTGAGGATAACTTCATCTTCAACGGTAAGGACTGCGTGTCAACCGTCTCCACACCCGAGTGCACTGAGGAGGGCGGCGTCTTCAACGGCGAAGAATGTATCACCCCCCACACCCCGGTGTGCTCTGAAGGCATGACTTTCGACGGCACCCGCTGTATCTCGACTAGCGTTCCTGTCTGTCCCTCCAATGCCCTCCTCGACGGCCAAGGCGACTGCATTACCACCTCCGTCCCCAAATGCCAGCCCGGATCCTCACTTGTGGCCGGAGGCTGCATTGTCGGCGTCCCCACCTGTCTGAAGGGCACTATCTTCGACGGTAAGCAGTGTATCAGCCCCAAGGACCCCAAATGCCCCGTCGACCACAAGTGGACCAACGGTCGCTGCATCAAGCTGGTCGGCCTCGAATGCGCCCCCGGCTATGCTCCCTTCAACGGCGAGTGCGTCTCCAATGATAAGCCCGAGTGTCCCCCCGGCACCAACTTCGACGGCAAGGACTGTATTGGATCTGAGCCCATTTGCGACGAAGACCTGGTCTTTGACGGTGAGGAGTGCTCACACCCCTCTGAGCCCACTTGCCCACCCGCCATGAAGTTCAACGGCAAGAAGTGTGTCGCTGAGAAACTACCCGAGTGTCGGAGCGGCACAGCCTTCAACAAGAAGACAAAGGAATGTATCGCTGACTTGGCTCCCGAGTGTCCCCCGGGCCAGGTCTTCAACGGTAAGCAGTGTGCCTTGGCTTCGGGTGACTGCATGAACTTCGAGTACTGTCCCTCCGCTGGTATGCCTGTCTGTGGTGATGGCCAAAACTTTGATACCGCGACTGGTATGTGTGCAGACTTTTAGGTACACAATTGACCTGCCGGTGTTCAGCATTTACACGTTACGGTGTACGAGGTAATTTGAAAAATTATTGAGAGGTCACCGATTTTGCCCGAGGATCTTCCGAAAGTGGAGGAAATTACCCCCAAGGAAAAGTTCTAGTCTTGATCAATTTTTGCCATCAATTAATTAGCTAGACGCTTCATCGCAAATGCTGAGAGATTTAAATCGCCTAGAATAGGAAGAAAACCTGCTCGCTTTTCTTAAAAGTCTTTATTGTTATCGTTTATAATGTGCAAAAATCTAGAAAGAATCTACACTTATACCAAGCAGCCCATAGCCTAATAAGGATACACAGTAAGGCAGTAGATCTCAATAAGTAATTTCGGAACATTATTCTGTCTATCGGATATAGAGATACACATAAGAAAGGAGAAAACAAGAGCAAGTGGGTAACATTACCTATCCATAATCTCCCGCCCCAACTCAGTCTACTATGCACATTTCTTAAATCAGCGCTCTAGTTTCTGTCAATTGAAACGAGGAAAATTATAAGGCAATAGCCTGAGCGACAGATTTATCGCTCTACCTTCTTAAAAAAGTGATGTCATATTTTTATGGTCATGAGTATCACTAGGACTACCGAGCAAAGCCGGATCTGATCCCCTTCGTTTAGCAAATCTTTTTTCCAAAGGAAAAGTGGATTAAGAGACCTAGTGGGCCTTGGCTGATTCTAGTGGATGTCGTTGTTCACTTCCAAAGTGGTTAAATGTCTATTCTCGTGTGGAGAGGCTTGCTATGGATTACAAAACTTGTTACTAGCTACTCTGGGCAGGTTTGTGTGGGTATTTGTGGAACAGAATATTGCAAAGTGAAGATCGATCGACCCGATCGCCTGGATTTTCTTCCGGCGAACGGGCTCCACTTGCTTGCCACGACCTATAGGCCTTGGCGGGCCGCTCCGTTCCAGAAAATCGCACGACACTAATTACCTTCGCTGGATTTTCTCCTTCCAGTGACTTCCATTGCCCACGCGTAACCGAGAAAATATGACTGCTTTTTTTAGTGCTTCAGAGCTGAGGCTATAAATTATGGTTATAACTGCAGGAGAATTTGCGTCTCCTACATATGCAGTCGTTCTCCACATTATGCAGTTCGGCTAATGGTTCGATAGTTGTGAATTAGAGTACCCACCTGACTTCAGGATGCAGCTGAGAACCAGATATACTAACTTTAGAGTGGGGTGACAAGATGAGGGGGCTTCAAAGAGATCCCAGATTCCTCTTCCATTCCGGCAATTTGTATGACGATTAGCAATGGATGCGATGATACGCATCGGATACGACGATAATTGTCGCAAAGCGCGAGCCACGTAGTGTAGTGGGGAGACCCAGTCGCTATTAAGGATCACCATAGCGGCACAGGTCACATTCCGTGCCGTACGGGAAATGGTCTTATTAGTACCACCCGAGCACTGGTTACGGAATACACAAACCTTCACCTCTCTCATTGTGAACCTGACGGGGCTCGCTATTCTCCGATGACGATGTTTCGTCGTGGTTGGTTATCGCAGAAAATGAGTGCTCCAAAAATCAGGCTGTTCAAAATTAAATTCGATGAAGAAAGAAAGCCAATATAGTAGGATGTCTGAGGCAGAAATCCGTTTGGGGATACGACTTCGGGAGATGGGTCGAGTTATCCTGTTGACGGATGCTTCAGGGTTTTGGGGATTTCTTAGGTCACAACTAGTAAGCTCCCAAGTGACTACTATGAGGCAAGACGGCTGACTATTTTGGACTTTTGCTATCCAGTCCGCTTGTTCACGACAGACCAGCACCTGAAGACGGTCTACAAATTAGCCGAGACCTAAGGGAGCGAAGAGCCAGATCCTCAAGCGTAGCATTTTGTTAAAACTAAATAAAAATTCTGGCTCTTTACGAAATGGAAGCTAAAAGTTAGATATTAACTCTGAGCTCGGGCGACAAAATCAAGATGGCTCTATCTCAGTTTGATTTCTCGGCCGAAGGGAAGATCGCCAATTTGCTTCATATTCCAACATGAGGGCAAGCTATTCGAAGTATAATGATAATTTCATCTAAAACAGAACCATTTCTAGTCTTAATCACTCTTTAAGTTTCCAAAACGCGACCAATTATTCAAAAGACAGCAACCGAGTAGAATTGGATGACGGAGGTTTAGTCCTAAATTGAAACATAAAGTGAAATGCCACATCCATAATTAGAAATGATTGGCTGTCAGTAGACCTCGCCAAAACCCGCCCACCGCCCAAACCCACCCACGAAAACCCAACCCACGAAAACCCAACCTGTTGGTTTATTAAGTGATGCTTCAATGGTCATATCATTGAGGAGAGTTGATTGTGTGTTGTGTCGGATGTGTTTTTTCTAAGATACAAGTGACTGAGAAGTAAATTATATGAGTATGCACGTGATCCCAGCCTCATTATTATCCCAGCAACCGGGATATTTCAACACAACCCACGGGCTGGGTTGGGTCTTAGTCAGCATACCCGTGGGCGGGTTGTCCAAGAACCCATTTACCTGTATATTACAGTATTACTGTTGAAATACAACCAATACCAGATATAGAGTGTAGGGTAGGGATGTTGTAATTACGAAATTGGCCAACTCATTACGAAATCTTGAAATTTCATTTCATTTTCTCGTTTCAATTACATTTCAAGGGGCTGGCGTCTGCTGAGTCATCAGAAGCGGTAACCTATTATAGCCAATAAAGGCCTATACTTCATTTTTCTGCCATTGTCTTCATCAAGTATGCTGTAGCTCGTGGCAACAGGTGGAAGAATATATATCTTTGGCTTGTTTAGAATACTCTCAAGGTCTCACCCCTTCCTAGCACCCTCACCTTCGAAATGGCTCCTAATCATCCTTGCGGAAAGGTTTCCTACTCAGAGCTCGAGCTTCAGAGATGCTTCAAAATCATACAGGGTGATAAAAAGGTAAGAACTAATTCATAAACTTATCCTCTACTCCCCTAATTGCAGCTTCTTCAGGTGCCTCAAGCACAATGTCTTGGATGCTTGAAGACTCGCGCCAAAAATACTACACGCCAGAGTGAGCATGTTAATAAATGCACAAAAGCACAGGCTCTGATGGATCCCAAGACCGCCGCAGAGAAGAAACAGAAATTGCTAAGTTTCTCTACATCTCAGCCAGCCAGAAGCATTGATCAGCTAATCGCTCAGGTCTGTTTCACCGGGGCTAGACCATTCAACCTTTTCGAACAGCAAGAAATGCGAGAACTTATCCATGCGTTACGCCCGACGTATCAAATTCCTTCCCGCCAACGAGTCGCCGATGACCTGCTGGATGAAGCATATAATGAACTACTAGAGAAGGTTATTAAAGAGTTACGGAGAACTGAGTTCTTAAATGTCACAGTGGATGAGACCACTAACATTAGATCTCAACGGGTGATAGTGATGACTATAACAACGCCGATAAAGTCATGGTTTGTCTACTTGAATGATATGGAAGACAAGACTCTTGATGCTCCTGCTATTAGTGGTTGGATCTTGAATAGTCTCAAATGTCTCCTACTACAACTGGATACAACGATTGACTGGAAAAGAATTAATTCTATCTCGACAGACACATGTTCTGTCATGAAATCGGTCTGGGAGAAGCTAGAGAACACACCAGAGCTCAAACACTGCTTTATGATTCCCTGTGACTCTCACGGCCTACAGTTAATCATGAAGGATATTGTTGATGCTAAGGGTTCGAAGGTTCCACGGGCTGCGGAGGTATTTAAGTCGGCCCTTGAAATAGTCGTCTTCTTCCACCACTCACCACTCGAGTACGCAAGGATGCAAGGAAAGCAGATTGAGAAGTGGGGATATAGGAAGGCTCTTATTGCGTCAGTCATTACAAGATGGGGAACGCAATATAATATGCTCTCCTCGCTCCACGACTGCCAAGAAGCTATCTGTGAGTGGACACTTATCACTCCTGCTACCTCGACTGCTAGGGGGAGGGAGATTATTCGGATAGCGAACTCGCATTCGTTCTGGTGGCAACTAAAGGAGTTGATTAAAATCCTTAAGCCTCTACATGTTGCCCAAAAAGAGTCCGAAGCTCGGAACTCGTCGATTATGGAGGTAACGCAGCGATGGCTAGATCTCCATGAAGATCTACGAACATTGGCTTCCCAAACATCTCTTAAGGACGATTTCTTGTCCTATTTGGATGGCATAGGCTGGCAAAGTCGAATACTACGTCAGCTTGAGCCTATCCACTGGGTAGCCTATCATCTTGATCCCGCTAGAGTCCCTGGGAAAGTTGACCAGAGCTCTCGTAATTATATCGAAGGTGTGCTACGGCCTCTACAGAACAACGACAAAAGCTCTTCCGCTTGGCATGAATTTCTGTCATTCAGGCAGAGAACGGGCGCTTTTTATAATGCCTCCTGCTGGAAGGCCCAGAGCCCGTCTCTCTTTTGGCTTGAGGCAGTACGTTATACTATCAACGATTAAAACGAAGGACTTACTTACGATATGCTTATACAGGAGGACTTTGCTCCGCTTCTTGCACCCTTTGCTCGTCGACTCTGCAATACTGTGGCAAATTCAGCGGCAGCGGAGAGAGCCTTTTCACAGATGAACCTTCAGCATACAAAAGTCCGAAATAGGCTCGAGCCCCACCGCGTTGAAAAACTGCTCTTCGTGCAGATCAATAAACGACAATTCCGGACAGAACGGCCTCCCGAAGTTGCGCAAGAATCACTCCTTCAAGAAGAGGATAACGAGATAGAGAGGGTTTTGCAGCGAAACCAAGTGCTAGACGATCTATCAGGGGGCTCATATCAACTACTAGAGCAACCACCGGAGCAACCACTAGAGCAACCGCCAGAGCAACCGCCAGAGCAACCGCCAGAGCAACCGCCAGAGCAACCGCCAGAGCAACCGCCAGAGCAACCGCCAGAGCAACCGCCAGAGCAACCGCCAGAGCAACCAACAGAGCAACCAACAGAGCAATCACCAA